TCTTACCTAGTTCTGCCGCTAAATTTCAGTGCGTGCATTGCTATATTCCAGTGTGAAGGGTTTAGAGAGCCAGTATAGTTACAGGCTCCAAGGTATCTTAGTTCTCAGAGGTGACAACGTATCTGTAGCCTTCTTTTCGTTTGGTCTCAGACATCATTTTTTACGTGGTAGAGCCATGCTGTAGCTATATTAGTAGTATAGTTGTAGCACGAATGGCTTGGCTCGACCGGAGAAGAACCACGCTCTCACAGAATACCAGCGTAAAATAGCAGCTTAACGCTGCTGTGTTTCGTATGGTAAGTGTAGAGAACCGGAGACCATTTTTACTGAAAACGAGGCATTCCATTTCAGTCCTTACGGGTGACGACGCATCAGCAATTTGATTTGTAATCAAGGATAGATGTAGATGTATATGGGGCACAGCATTCACTTACCATCAGGTGGACTGTGTGCTCGTTTGTCACCCTTATCTTATAAAAAAAATCCATGTGTTGCATTAGTCATACCATCAGATAAAATGTAAGTTTGACATTTTAATCTTATGTTAAAAAGTCCGTCTAATGATTATTTAATGATGTGTTTCATAGACCTCTTTGTCAACCCTCCATTGAGAATCCAAATGCAAAAGCGTTATTTTTTTTGAGATCTTAAATGGAATACCTAGTCATCAGTAAAAATAATCTCCAGTTCTGCCTACCATACGAAAATTAAAAGTAATTTGACTCTGGTATTGTATACGAGCGTGGTCCTTCCCCGATTGAATTGAGCCATTCCTACTGCCATAATATGCTGCAACATGACTTTAATACTTCAATTTCGGGGACTACCTTTGATAAATTATCCACAGCCAAGTATTTGTATTGTAATAAAATTAAAATTACATGAAGTAAAATTAAAAGTAAAACTGTAATGGTCAAGTCTTGCAATTCCAACTACTAATTAGATTAAGAAACCTAAATCATAAGAGGACTTTGGAATAGATATTGACAAATAATTCCGGTTTTATCAAGAAGTCACTGAATTCTTCTCCCGCCGTCGCCGAATCATTACTCAAACAATACGTAAATGCATATATAAAGAATTTTACATTTTATGAAGTTTTATCAGAAGATATTTTCAAATTTCTTCTGATAAAACTATCTAAATTTATTTTTAAATTTCAAAACTTATATTAATATTAAGAAAACTACATTCCTGGCGTCACATATCCTCCGAAACATTATTTTACAACTGTGTTGCATATTTATCACTCATTATATCCTATCAAAGTTCACTGCTGAACATAGGTAAATTGCCTTATAATGGAGATATTTGTCCGCTTTGCTACGCTTGCCGGATGGGTTGACAACCGCAGTTTTTTACGTTATACTTCTTTTGGGGCGTTTGGGAAAAGATAATAGTGAATTTTTACGATGCACGCGCACTACGACACCTAAAAACGACACTATGAATTTATTATGCGCGCGCACACTGACACCTAAAATCGACAACTTCAGTGGGCAATTGTCTCTCAAGTTTTTTTTTGGTTTGTTACGCTAAAGAAGTATAACTTCCTACGTGCGTACACACACTTTTTTATTTTCTAGTTACGAAGAAGCTATTACTCGTTTCCTGCTTTGTTGTACCATCTGTCGATTCTTATGACACTCAGGGGACGATATGGGATACCTAGTGGATATTCTTACACAGCCACTGCCCGGCCAAACTTTGTTAAGTATATAATACCTAGACCGGCGTCAGAAAGTAGCATAAAGTTAACCCATCTACCATCTACAAAGCGTGGCAATTACTGTAAGCCCTTCCAATGATTGAAAAGCTTAAATGCTCATTTTGAGCCCCGAAAAGCTGATATATAAATTAAAGATATATGCCACTATCAACAATAATTTATATACGTGGCAGAGCCATGCTGCAGCATTATTGTGTTGTAGCACGAATGGGTCGGCTCGATCGAGGAAGGACCACCCTCTCACAGAATGCCAGCGTAAAATATCAGCTTTATGCTGCTGTGTTTCGTATGGCGCGTGTAGAGTCCCTTTTTACTGGAAACGAGGCATTCCATCCATTCCAGTCCTCTATGGTGACAATGCATCTTCATTTAGATTCTCAAATGAGGATCAATGTAGATGTCTATTGGCCACAGCATCCATTTACCATCAGGAGCGTTTTTTTTTATAGGAGAGGGGGCAAACGAGCATGCGGCTCACCTGATGGTAAGTGACTACCGCCGGCCATGAACATCTGCAACACCAGGGAGGGAATTGCAGATGCGTTGCCGACCATTTAAAAAGGAGTATGCTCTTTTCTTGAAGGTCCCTAAGTCGTATCGATCCGGATAAATCGCTGATGGTAATCGATTCCACAAGGAAGTCGTGCGAGGAAGAAAACATCTTCTAAATCGCACAGTGGTGGACCGCCAATTATCCACATGGTGTGGATGGTATCGGGAGTTCTGCCGCGATGTGCGTTCGTGAAATTTGGCGGCTGGGATTAATCCAAACAATTCCTCAGAGCACTCCCCATGGTAGATGCGAAAGAAAATGCAAAGGGATGCAACATCTTTTCGCAGTGCCAATGAATCGAGCCGATTGGAAAGGGCTCGGTCGTCGACGATTCGAGCCGCTCTGCGCTGGATGCGGTCAAGTGGAAGGAGCTGGCACTGGGGAGCCCCTGCCCAGAGATGGGAACAGTATTCCATGTGAAGCCGAACCTGCGCCTTGTAAATTTGGAGGCGGTGTGCCGGCATGAAATACTGTCCCGCTCTGCTGAGCACGCCAAGCTTTTTAGAGGCCAATTTGGCCTTCTCTTCCAAGTGACCACGAAACTGCACGTCACTCGATATATCGACTCCGAGGATACCGATACTGGCTGAGGCAAGAATGGGAGTGCCTTGAAACTGAGGAGATACTACAAAGGGGTTCTTTTTAGCGGTAAACGCGCAAACTTGTGTCTTCTGAGGATTAAACTGGACTAGATTTAGTCGCCCCCAATCCGAGACATTCTTCAGCACAGACTCGACTTCAGACACAAGTTTGTTCCGGTACTCGGCGACGTTTTCCCGAGAAATATTGGCACGGCCGGTGTATAGAGCATCACCAGTGCTGTCATCCGCATAGCAATGAATGTGACCAGTTAGCAACATATCATTGATATGCAGAAGAAACAGCGTTGGTGATAGCACACAGCCTTGTGGAACACCAGCGTAAATAGGCTTGTAGTCAGAATATGCACCGTCTACAACTACCTTGTTGCTCCGATCTGCAAGGAAGCTGGTGATCCAATTGCACAATTTCTCGGGAAGCCCATAGGAAGGGAACTTCGAAAGAATCGCTTTGTGCCAAACCCGATCGAAGGCCTTCGCAATGTCCAAACTAACGGCCAATGGACTCTACTTGCATTGGACTCTACTGCCTCCGCCTATCTATGGGTCAGGTAGACCAGAAGATCACCAGCTGATCGACCCCGACGAAAACCGTATTGGCGATCACTAATCAGCTGGTGATCCTCATTCAGCTGGCGTTATGTGCTGATTTCTGATTTCTTATTCTATAAAAAAACTATACAAAAGAAAATGTTTTATATTACATTCCGTGCATTTTGTATTATTATTATTATCGGTATCGACATCGCAATACACTTGACCTGTACCCTTTAAATATAAACTTTGTTATCATTATTATGTTGACTGATGGTGATCTTTCCCTGTTACCAGTAATCAAATTATCTCTAACGAGGTTAGAAATGCTTCGGTGGTTTGAACACGTAGAAAGCATGAACATGAACATGAACGAAAAAAGCAAATTTATAATTTATAATGAAGTTAATCGACCGAATTGGCGATAAATTGAAGATGGGCCAAGTTAAAGAGTAACCTTAATCAATGAGCATGTGCATAGATACATGGGTTTGAAAGAAGCGAGAGAGGTGTGTCAGGATGATGGCAAACGGAAGTCTGTAGTCTCTGTCTAGACATCTGGGTAACTAGCGTGAGAGTTTGTGTCATAAGCAAGGCCGCCTTAAATGTATTTATCCGTTACCAGCCATAAAAGTCCACAGCTGAATATATGCCTCCCCGTTGATGCTTCATAAAAGGAGATTTTTATTATTTTTATTTGTTATCAGTTATCTGTTATCTCCTGTTTCAGTTTTCCTCTAACGCCTCTTAAGATCCTTTCGGTATGATATGGGGTGGTGGATTTTTGATGGCAAACGAGCACACAGTCCGCCTAATGGTAAGTGGTCTCTGTGGTACATAGACATCTACATCTATCCTCGTTTACGATTCATAATGCCATATGCGTTGCCAACCGTGAGGACTAAGATGGAATGCCTCGCGTCCATTAAGAAGGATCTCCGCTTCTCTACAATCACCAAACGAAACACAGCAGCGTAAAGCTGTTAGTTTACACTGGTATTCTGTGAGAGCGTGGTCTCTCCCCGGTCGAACCGACCCATTCGTGCTACAACTATTCTATTAATATAGCTGCAGCATGGCTCTACCACGTAAAGATACCGGATATTGTTACACCGCCCTTACACGGCATAAATTTATCTATCCTAACCTTAAAAGTTGGTTAAATTTTTTAAATAAGAGATTGTTTAAGTAAACAATTTAAATGGCCAATTTATTTTATATCTACCTCTTGTAATGACTTCCTAAACTTATAAGCCACTGTCAATCAGGATATTAATTAAATATTTAAATTATATTGTCCTATACCATATATTTTATTTATGTTCTATGTCTATTGTATTTACCAATGAATATTTAACATTTCCTGTATTTTTATATTATTTGGCGCTAGTAATGATCTCTCAATAGCCATAACTAAACGCGCGAAAATTTAAACTTACGTCGCTAGTCTGCGGGTTGCCGATTAAGAATAAAAACAAGTGCTTAATAAGTTACAGGCCAGTGTGCGTCGAGTTGCTGGTCTCGAATATCTTAACGGACAATTCTTGTCACTATCTTTGAGAAAAAATCGTGTAAAGTTAGTAAAATGGTAGCGAAGATATTGTGCTTCTTGCTTATGGTGGGCTTGGCTTGTGCGGCTACTTGGCAAGGAAAGGCCCCGAGGAAGCCAGCGGAACTAGGTAAGTTGATTTAACATTTCACCGGCAGAAATGTTTCTGCTGAATCTATTTTATACTTCTTAGAATAGTGTGTGTGATTTTGTTTTTGAGGCATTACAAATGATATAAATAAAAACATGTAGCAGGCCACTTTTTTTCTCCTCTCCAAAGGGCGCTAACTATTCTTCAGCTTCTGCATCCAGTTAATTATATCCTATGTTTGGTTTAAACTCCATTACATTTCAGTTAGAGTTATGAGCACATCACAGACGAGTAAATTAATTGCCTTACACAAAAAACGGACAAATGAAAGTTTCAAAACAAAAGAGTTATAGAATATAGATATGACTATGTTCTATGGATCTTATTAATTTTTTAATTAATTGACATTATAAGTCACGTTATTGAAAAAATAAATACTAATTTATTATTTATTATTTCAATACTTTTAGTTTTAATTTTAAAAAAAATGCGTAATATGTATCGTCAGGATACAGTTCGATGTTAATGTAATTTACTACTGTTATTGTAAAACATTTTAATTATAGATTCTTCGAATTAATATCCAAACTATTGTAGTTTTTAAAACACCTTCTTGAGTGATGTACCATATAGCAACGTTGGATTCAGAGGACATGCACTCTAAGAGGCATATTACCTTTACTTGGTTGGAACCAATATGTCAAGTTCTGTTTTCCCTCTCGGTATTCTACAGGATGAATTTAGGATAGTGTGCGCAGGAATCATACGCCTTAATTACGCCCTCCTCTTTCCACGAGGCGACAATCAGGCAGTCGGGGGACCTTCACTACTTTGTTGTCTATATCTCATGCATTCGAACTAAATGGTTTTTTCGTCTTTCGCCATGCGTACTGCAAAGAAGTGGAATAAGTTGCCGGCGTTTGTATTTCAATTTATTTTCTAACTAATACATTTTGTCCCGTGCGTATTCCTGTGGTGTAGCGTCAGTGTAACAGTACTCACAAAATAATTTCTTATATTAATGCGAATACTACACATTGAATAAAGTGATATTAACTATAATAAAATCCATCAACATAGTTTTATTCAAAGTACTCGCAAAGTAAAGTTAATGAGTTAGCGTATTAATATTATTACTATCTTTCAAACGCCTATGAATAATAAATCTATCATTGTTGTTACATTAACCAGACGTTCATGACCCTGCTTAGTATGATAGGGCAGTATATTAAGAAGAGCTTAAGTTGTAACCTTGGATGTCCGCAATTTATTAATGAGACTTTTAATTTTATACGATATAGACCTATGGAAACTTTTTGGTTATATAGTGGTGTAAGAAAATAATCTATCTTCGTTCAGTGGTTGTCAAGAGAGATGACCATTGGAAAGTCCAGAGAGACTGACTTCTAAACAGTAGATAATGATATATTATTTCATATATGTATCAGATATAAACCCAGACCAATTGCAGGGAGAAGCATCATATGTGATAGACTGTGATCATCAATCTGTCAGCAAAGTGTAATGATTATGCCGAATCCTTTCTAAATGAGAGAACAGTTTTATATGTATAAATAGATATTCGCATTTTTAAAAGGTCATCTGAATTTGCTCTTAAATACAATACGGAATAAGGTCACGTTGAGCTCTTGTGACAGCAAGATGTACCAAATGATAAATTTAAAGTGTCTATTTATAATATACAAGTAAGATAACATGTAAAATATTAATGGACATTTTTTAATATTAAGTTACTTTATTATATAAGTAGAGGGGAAAAACTTTATTATAATTTTTAAATAAATCTTTAAGTTATAGACATTTTCTTTTTGATTAATTTTAGAATAAATAAATATCTCAAAAATATTATTAACAAACCCAACATGGGAAAACCTTGACCTCATGTTATATCGCTAAAAAGACGTCTGACAAGCGATAGAGTCAGTGGCATTAATATATATAATTTTATGTAAATGATGCTTTAAAATAAAAAAAGTAGAAACACTTGAAGAAATTTATATGTATATATTTTCATTATAATACAGCTTTTAGGAGTTTGATACAACGATTCACAGCTATATAGCGCAAAACGTTAGCTGTAAAGTTGGTTGGCTGTTTCCCTTTAGTAACAAAATTTAAATCTTCTATACTTTTAAAATGTAATTTATCACTTAACCTCTATCAACCAGCAGGTGTCGTATGAGGTGACAGAGACATATGATACAGGAGACGGCCAGCAGCATCTTCCCGATAGCGACTATAGTGACAAAAAACTGCGGTTGCCTATCTGCGTACCCAGTACAACAAATACGGCAAATATCTTTCGAATTAGGAAATTAGTGGTGGAGGTACATGTTCAGCAGTATCGTTGGCTGTAGTGATGATGATTTCTATCCATCCTGGTATATATAGGTATGGTTTTTTTATAGGATAAGGGTGACAAATGAGCACATAGTCCACCTGATGGTAAGTGGTTGCTGCGGTCTACATCTATCCTCAATCTCCCCCGTGAAGACTAAGATGGAATGCCACGTTTCTAGTAAAAAGTGTCTCTGGTTCTCTGCACTCACCATACGAAATATGTATAAGTTATATATAAGTTTGCCATCCTATGACGAGAAACTTAAAATGTTTAATATTATGCCGCTACAAACTCGGTGTAAATATCAGGATATGACTTACGTTTTCAAAATTATTTATTCCTTTATTGATTCCAACACCCTCCTTTCATTTGTCAAGATTAATACGGAGTCTCATCGTCAGTACACATTTCTAAACACTTTTGCTTTGCAAGTTTATAGAAATAATACGCCCCATCATAATCCTTTAGTAGGAATGTGTCGCCTCTATAATAACTTATTGAGTAATAATAGTAAAAATATCGACATATTTACTAACGAAATAAAAATTTTCAAAAAATCCGTTTAAAATATACTTTGTAAATAAGGCGTTCAAGACAGTTTATGTTTAAGGTTTGAGATATCTTTATTTCTCATAATAATTTACAACAATTCACTTACATGAGAACGTTTAAATACATGCAAACAAATAATAATCTTATCCTAGGCGTACACTAATATATCGAAATCATTTCACTCAAACAAGTTCAATCGTAAGTATACATTTTAAATAAAGTTTCAGTTTAAATAAAGATTTAATTTTCCTAAATTTTCCACAACAAATTTCGCTTTATATATAGGTTTTAAATATCTGCTAACTCGTTAATGTTACCTAATATCATGTTGTGTGCACATGTTTTGGAATACTATCCAGATTCTAACTTTGCACTTGTTATGTTCAAGTTGTTCATGTTTTGATCTTATTCTATTTTGCTAAACAAATAAATACACTCTTATCTATGCTCTATGTAACTAATACGCATCCAGCATTACGTCCTCAATTTGTAGTTTATTTTAAAAAAATGTTATAGTTATTATTAATGTCCTTTAGGAGCTACTAAATTTTGCCCTTCCACTTGACACTATGCCACAAGCGTTGAATAGAAGCAAAAGTAGAACAAAATCTCTTGTTTTTCTTAAAATACGATAATGCTCTCATAAAGAACTACAGATGATTTCTCCTCTACACTGCCTCTACATGCTGTTTTCGATTGTTATTACGAACTATCTCGCAAGCAGATTTCATGACTTTTGGTCTTCCGAATACGCTGATTTAAAACTTAGCACTATGCTCAGAGCCATGGTAGCTCAGATGGTTAGCGCTCGCTGTAAATTTCACAGCACGCGAGCAAACCAGGTTAGAACCCCGCCGGCACCAATGAAATTGTTAATGCAATTTTAAGTGCTGATTTACCACGTACTCGGCGGTGAAGAAAAAACATCTTAAATATTTGATCAAGCAAAAGCTGTATAAAAAGGGTTATTAAAATATAAATGTATACATGGTTGGTAATAACCCCTGGGAATGAGGTGGTCGCTTCCAAGATGTTTCTATAATAAATTTTGTAAATAGTTTGTAATCAATTATATTTTTAAATTTATTTAAAAAAAGTCCCGGTGGGTTTCTTGCTGGTTCTTCCTAGGAGAGAGGATTTTTTCGTACCAGTAGTAAAGTAAAAAATGACTATCAATAAGAATTACTTGTAATCAATATTGAATAAAAAATTATTCTATTCTATTCTATTCATCGTGAGGGTCTCCTCACTGAAGTTCGCCAACACGCGTTAGGGCAGCGAGGCGGACACTTCCTTACCCTAAAACCCTCTCAGAAATGAGGCGAGGCCTGTGCCCAGCAGTGGGACGTATATAGCCTGTAACTTTACTTTACTTTACTTTATTATGCTCAATTTAAGATACATAGTGTCTGCTAAAGGTTATGTTTCCAATGGTTAAGTCGCCAAAAAAGATGTGTTTGTGTCATACCTGTACCAGGGTTGTTGGGAAACTACATTCACAATTATAGAAGAAAATGTATCAAACAAATATTGAAGAAAAATGTGGTGTTTGTAGATTTAATATAACAAATATTGTAATGATTTCTTGTATTTACACGAATACTTGACATTAAATAAAAGTAATTTTTACGGATCTTATCGCGTTTATTTTAAATTAAACGCAACTAAACTCGTAAAATTATTTTTATACAATACGAAAATATCGTTAATATGTTCAATGTTCATCTGTGGGAAACCTTGCGGAAGGTTATATATTTGTATGTTATTTACATCGTCTTAATTTAAATTTTTAATGATTTTAATATGAGTGCTATCATGTAAACAATTTAGATCGGGAGTGTTTTTGGTATCTTTTTCACGAGGGACACAGATATTAATACACTAGGCAAGTCAAACTTCGTTTGTGGTCAATTGACGAATCAAATTCGACTAGACAGTCAAGTAATCCTCAAAGTCTCACAACAAGTTTGCGTGTTGTCAGCGATGACCTATGGAGCCGAGTCATGGTCCTGTAGTTTTGGACGTATAAGAAAAGTTAACGTCGTTCTGCAAGCTTTTTTTTTTTTTTTTTTTATAGGAGAGGGGGCAAACGAGCATGCGGCTCACCTGATGGTAAGTGACTACC